CATAAAAGCATTGTGTGGAGAATCTCTGAGGCTATAAAATAGAAACACATATATAATAAGGTACTTGCGTGTGGAGCTTGGCGTAGGGACGTCGTTGCTTGATAAGGCAAGTGGGACGGGTCCTGCGGAGACGTCTCGGGGAGGCGTGCATGGGATGAGTTAGTGGAGGCGGCTGTGGTGGTGACGAGCGCAGGGCGAGGATGGCTGGGCGGGTGATTGCGCGATGCCAGGCTCAAGATTTACGCAATCTTGAAGTCGATATGGAGAGGAAATCATCCCAATAGATGTGATATGAGGCATTGTTCTGGTCTGACGTTGGAAGAAGAGAACATGAGGGAAGTGCAGCGGATGACGGTTTTGTTTGTTTTCTTAGCCTAGTTGCATCAATATTTTTCTTCACCATGGTTGAAAAAGCATTTCAGGTGCACGTAAAAGAAAAGGGGAAAAAAAAAAACAAAATGCATCGAGAAAAAAAAAAAAGAGGTGACAGGAATCTCATGTGATGAGAATTGCTTTAAAAAGAAAAAATGGCTGATAAGTCTCATTATATTATGGCCCGCATAATCGGTACCTTGCGTCGTTGCAAGGTCGTATGATAATCACGATAGCGATTGGTAACACGAGACATGCGGATGACTTTTTTGTTGGTTCGTTTTTTTTTTGTTTTTTTTTTTGGGGGGGGGTGGGGAGGGGGTAGCCAATTCCCACTTTGCCGATATTCTTCTAAAATAAGTTTTGCGTCTTCAGAGCTAAAAAAGAGTGAAGTGAACTTAGAGCTTCCAATTTTCCAGGCATTGTATATAGGGTACTGTGGGAATCTTGGCATCTCAAGTGCCACGGTGGGTGAAGGCCTGGGGGGCCAAAAGGGGAAGGGAGTACCAGATACCAGAAAGGTACGGGTATTTCTTGAGGGAGCCTCCTCAGAAGATCATCATCATCGTCGTTGAGGGTCACAGTATTATTGGGTTTTGCCTGTTAGGTCTTACAGCTGTTCTGTTCTGTTCTCAAGATATAGTAAACCGGTCTTCTTCGTACATCCCGATTTCTATCCTTATCTCTCGTCCTTTTATCTTTCGTGTTCTTCTTCCCCTTCCGTGAACTTCCCTCTTGATCCCTCCCACAGTACCCATTTCACAATCCCCACCATTCAAGAACTCGCATGGGGAACCTAACAAAAAAAAAAAAAAGCTAGATGAAGAGGAAAAAAATGGTTGTGTGTATTTTTGTATATTAACGATTTACACGGGGTGTCTGTAAACGAATTCTTGATCACGATTTCTGCAAGCTGAACTGAATCGGTTGTAGGATAGGCTTTTGTTTGAGTTACGGGAGCAGATCTACGATGCCCAGAGTCTATGGACCGCTGCATCCTGATTACGGATCCTTGTCCAGGCTTACGCCAAGAATCTGCACCATCTGTTTATAAGTGACACAAATAGCACTAACTACTAGCCAAATTCGCTAGCATAAAGGAAGAATGAAGGATGCTTACGAGTGTCCCAAACAACCTCTAATTTGGCTAATTTCTTTTTTTTTGCTTATTGCGAGAGAGTTCGAGTCGTTATTGGGGGGGGATGGTGAAATTTTTGTCGTTAGGTACAGTAGTACAACTAAACAGTGATTACTGCAAACTGAAGTGATCGGTTTAGATAGCCTTGTTTGAATTAATCAGTTTATCGGACCGCGCGCCAAGAATTTCAGTCACCTCTTTATAAGTTGTACAATACTTGTAACAATCAGCCAAATTCGCTCAGGTGTCAATGCCAAAAATTACTTTGGTATCTAATTTGGCTAGCTCTTTTTGTTGCTCATTGTGCGTGAGTTCGAGGCGTTGTTGGAGGTGGTATGATAAAAAATTTGTCGTTGAGTAATTTTTTTTTTTTTTTTTAGCATTGGTACTTTATATGTACGCTGTTTTTTTTTTCATTTGTCTCGGTTTCAAGTAATACCGGCACATCGTTCTTCGAGGCCAATTTTTTTTCGTGCAATCATTTGATTTGTTATTCTATACATATGTTCAGTGTTGTTTTGGTCTCAAAGTAACACTGGGGTCTGGATGCTAAGAATTTAACATCTCGTAACTTTTACGATGTTCAGCCCAAATTCGCTACCTAACGCAATAATTAGATGATTTGGGGCGCTTTGGAGTGATCAAGACAGACTAAAACTGAATTCTTCAAAACCCAATTTGGCTGACTCTTTTGTGCCCGTTGTGAGTGAGTTCGAGGCGTTTGTTGCAGGCTGGCGAAATGCTGTCGTTAGGTAATTTTTTTTGGGCACCGTCATTTTTAACTTTTTGAAAAACTACGTACCTTACCGTAGATTTGCCTCAAACCGCCCTCACTCAACGCAACCCCACACCGCACTGCACTGCACCACACCGCACGGCACCGCACGAGAAGATCTACTAGCTGCCAAAAGGAGATTCCTTGCATCCGAAAAATAGCAAGAAATGTTGAATCTGGATATTTATTAATCAAATTTGATAGAATATTTGAGTCTTGCCTTCCAGCAGAGTTTTTGCCATGGTTGAAATATCGATTAGCTGCAATATAATCACTCCTGTCTATTAGCTCCTGAAGCTCCTCTAAGCCCTCCTCTTCTTCCTCTGAACTGTACTCTGAGTCAAACTCCGAATCTAAATCATACTCCATTACTGTCATCAAAACATCGATTTCTATTTTCTTCTGTATTGACGCTTTTTGGCTTATACGAGGCAGTGAATTTGTAGTTGTGTTGATATGCGGGGTAGGGGTGAATGAGACTACACTACAACTACAGAGTGCAAGCCTTAGCTTTTTTGTATTTTGGACCGGTCATCAATTGCCGGCCGCAGATGGCTAGATGTTCCACCTTACCTTACCGTAGATAATTGATGGCCACCGCTATTGTTTTCTACATAATATGGCTTATTGTTTTCTCTTCTTTGGTCCCAGGTAATATTAGTTTGTCCCGAACGCCAAGAATTTGATGACCTCTTTATCAATATGGAGAAACAACAAATAATCAGCCAACGTTCGCTACTTAACTTAGGGGAATATGGTCGGGCTGTAATGCTGAGGGGAAATCCCCCGCTGCATCCCGCGTTGGCTAATTTTTATGCCTCTGTTACCGAGTTCAATTTGTTGTTGGGGCGAATGTGATTTTCTTATTTTTAATAACGTCATACGTTCCACTAGTCTAGCCAAATTCGCAATTGGATGATTCGGCCGCTTTGAGTGAACAAGACAGACTAAACCAAATTTGGTTCACTCTTTTTTTTGCCGTTGCGGCGAGTGAGTCCGACTCGCTGGTATAATTAATATATCACCTACCTACCGTAGGTAATCTTTTTTTACATCGTCATTTTTATCATTTTCTACATAATATGGCCTATCATTTGTTGTAGTTGCAATTAATATTGGTTTGTCTATGCCAAGAATTCTATCATGTCTTTATCAAGATTCGAAGGAAGAAACTTCCAGGCAAACTAGCTATCTAACTGCACTGGATTTTATCCGAGCCAGATTCTATTCTGAATTCAACTTAATTTGGGTTCGAGTCATCGTTAGGTATTGGTGTAACTTCGCTCGGTGGTTTTCTGGCACCGCCATATCTTTATGTTGCTTTTTTTCCAAGAAGGCCTGAACGCCAAGACTTCTAAACCCTTATAAGTTTTTCAAATATGTTCTCAATCAGCCAAATTCGCTCTTAACCCAATTGGACTCTCTTTTACTATTAACATACTAAAACTGACTCCCGCGCACCTCAATTTGGCTATTCTTTTTTTTCTGCGCGTTTGCGAAGCAAGTTCGATTCATTGTTACGACGGTGAAATTTTGTCGTTTGGTAATTTTTTTAAGCACCGTTATTTATTTATTTGGCCTCTGTTTTCAAGTAAATAGCAGTACTCTACATCGTTCTGAACCAGCAACCTAAAACAACTCTGGGGAAATTTATCTCTCCTTGTTTCCCCCCGCTCGGAATTGAGCATGTTTGCTTTAGTATTAGGCTTAGCTGCAACCTCACACAAAATCTCGAGCTCGGTAGTTTCCATGTTTGCCAAACAATCAAGCAGTCCTGCAATGAATGATGCTTATTTTCATCACAAGTATAAACTGTTCAACATACAATAATAATCCCAAACCACAACACCACCGGGAACCAGAAAGTTCTGCTTCGCAAAATATTACAACATGGCAAGGCGAAAAAAAATATTTATCCATCCAAGCTGTTGAATGAAAATACGAATAATACCCAAAGTGTCTCATACACTAATAACTCAGCTGGACTGTGCATATGCACGTTTTTTGTAATTAGTTCTTGCCCCAGCGACCACAAACAATTGGTTTTACAGTCACTAGCAGTTGGAGATTTCTGAGGCGTAGTATATTGTTTTAGTATTTTTTTTTTTTTGTTTCCAGTTAGTCCTCGACTCAACGGGGCCCTGTGCTGTCCAATTCTTCTGTCTCAGCCCCAGCCTAAACATTAGAGATCGGAATGGCATGGGTGGAGCTACTAAGGCCTCGGGGCGACGCTATGGATGGAGCGCCGGGAGGAGGGTGAATATTATAAAGTCTAAATACCTAAAATTTTCTGGGTCTTATGCACTCGTGCGCAGCACCCAGTGTACTCTGTCAAGGAACGAGAACCGAAATTCTCCACTCCCCTGACGGCTCTTTCGAAAAAGAAAAATACAAGACATGGAGAGTCAAGTTTCTTATCCCTGCGCCTCCATTCGTTGAGCCCAGTTAAAACCACCGCGATTGGTTTTATACATGCCGTATACCTGTATATACCCCATTAAAAGGAACCAAAAGCTACTCTCTGTACACAAGTACTTAGTTTCCAGCCACTAAATACCCTTTACTGCCACCCTCCTTCTCCCCTTCACCAACACATAAGATACTCCCATAAAATCCACAAAACCATGCCCTCGTTTCTTTCTCCTTCAACTTTCCTCCTCCCTCCCTGAAACAAAAAAAAAGAAAAAAGGTGGAAAAAATAAGAAAAAGAAACAGCGGTACTAGGAAGACTCGAACTTCCAACCTCCCGGTTAACAGCCGGACGCGCTAACCGATTGCGCCATAGAACCCGTTGTATGTGTTACCTCTATTTATCCAGGCATCTCTATAAATAACCAAATCAACTCCTATTTTGACTTCATCCAAACCGAGAGATATATACTCTCTTATCATATGAACCGTAACTCATGTGCTTTTTTTTTTTAAAAAAAAAAAGAGAGAGAGATATACTCTCTTAGCATATGAACCGTAACTCATGCGGGTTTTTTTTTTTTCTAAAAAAAAGAGGGATATACTCTATCGTATGAACCGTAACTCATGCGCTTTTTTTTTTTTAAAAAAAAAAAAGAGATATATCTACAATCTTACCATATGAACCATAACTCATGCGGTTTCTTTTTTACATTTCAATACATACGGAAGCAATACTCACTTACTACTTACTATTTTGTTACCTAGACACTACAGGAGATATACAATGCCTCAGCACCGATTATCCGACACTACCTCATAATCACGAAATAAGCTACCTCTTGAATACATGCTCTCAATACCAACGGAAACCAAAACCTCTATTCAAATTCCTCCCTGGAACTATTTTTTTTTAAAAAAAAAAGCTTCAATATCAAAAAAAATATAACCACTCCCCTCCCCGCCCCCCCTCCTCCCCCCAAACACCTCAACCATCTCTATCTCCAGCTCTCCCGCCCAGTGCCCGTCTGGGTAACGAGAACAGCTCCCCCGCATCCAGTATACCGCTGCCCCAAGATTAACTGCACCTACATGCCCATCAAGGTTAACTAGTTATCAAGTGTTTCCCCGTCCTCCAAGTATGTATGCCACACGCCCTGCGCACTGGGGGCTTTATCATCCCCTCCTCCTCCTTCCCCATTACCACGAACATATCGTTCACATCCCATTCCCAAGTCCCAAGTCCCAAGTAGCACTACGTAAGATAGATTATATTACCCCAAGTACTTGTTCAGTACATACAATTGCGAAAAAAACGATTTCAACGGAGCGAGTCATGGATGCCTACAAACATATACTTAGTAACTCCTCCCCCACCTCCCCTAACTCCCCCCACCGCACCTCCTGACCCTGTGACGTCGCCATAGCCCATAGGGCGGTATGCGATTAATGATATAAAAAAAAAAAAAGAAAAAAAAAAGAGAAATCAACACATACGCCCTATAGATAATGACAGAGATCCAGTACCCAAACTTACACCCCATAAAAAAACCAACATCACATAAAAGATTGCAAAATTACTAGATTCCAAACATATGCAGGCAAAAAAGATGCCAAACCATAAAAGCAAAAACAAACAACAAAAAAAAGGGCAAGGACCAACCCAACCCCAACCCAACCAATCCGACCCCGAACCGACTCCTCATTACCAAAAATACCAACAACGAACGTCGTTTCTTAAACAGAACGAAAGTAGAAACTCCCCAAAAAATCGAGCACAAAACAAACTCCTGAGCCCAGAGTTCTCCCATACAGCTAATTCACACCGTTAGCAGGACCCTTCACAATACCTCCTCGACCTCCACCTCCACATCCCCATCCCACATCCTCTCAATCCTCCTTCCCCCTTCCCTTTCCCCTTCCCCCTCCTTATCTACCTCCATCCCCATCCCAAACCCTCCATCATCCTTATTCTCCTCCACATCCTCCGCTTCCACCAGCACCCTTCCCCCACCAACCCCCATCCCTCCATATCCCCTCCATACCGTCCTCCCCCCCGTTCTCTTGACCACCCCTCCCATATGCTGCACCCCCATCCCTATGCCCACCCTCTTTCCCTTCCCCTTCACAATCCCAGAGCTCCCCGGTGCCCACGTATAGTTGCTACTATAGACCCTTATCCCCGAGCCCCCCAGTGTGCCCCGGCATGCATATACGGGCTCCGAGCGCGCGGATTTGAGGAACCGCGAGGGGGATATTGGTGGTGAGGAAGAGCAGGAGGAGGAGGTGGTGGTCCAGGGGATGGAGCATGGGGAGGGAGGGTTGGAGGGGAGGAAAGGCAGGATGGATGGTTTTGCAGTTGTGGTGAGGGGGGACGCGGGGGTGTTAGTGGGGGAGCGGGGAAGGCGGAGGTGGAGAAGGTGGTGGTTATGGTTGGAGTGGTGGGAGTGGCGACGGCGTTGTTGGTAGGAATATGGATCGGGACAGTGGGGATGGATATGGTGAGGCACTCGAGCGTGCGTGAGATTGCGGCTATGCTGGAGTTGGAGATGGATGTGCTGGCTGATAGGGTGGTCGTGTTGGTAGCAGGAGCGCTGGGGACGGTCTGCATAAGGCCAAACGTCATCATGCTGGTAGTACCCGTATTGATGGAGCCGCTATCCACATCCATTATCCCATCCTCCGACACCGACGACACCGACGAGCTCGCCGCAGTCTCAACATACCCCGACCCCGCCGCAATCATCAACCTTTTCATAAACCACTCCGACCGACTATCCCTGCCCGGCCTTACCTGAAACCTCATCGGTGGCGCCTCCGGGTCCCGTGCATACGAGCGGCTGGCAGTGCACCCCGCATAGCTGTATCGCGGCGCCGAGGTGCTGTACAACATCACCGTCGTGTCCGGGTTAGCTTGTACTCCTGGCCGAGTCTGCGCCCGCAGGTGGCGGAAGGGGAGTCGGAATGGGTCTGCCACGGCTGCTGCGGTACTGATTGTTTTTTTATGTGGTCTTTGTATGAAGGAATATGTATATATAGCGGCTGGTATGATGAAAGAAAGAAAGGGATGCTATATCTAGATGTGTACGGGGGTGGCGAAATGCCTCGAAACTACCGTGAGTAGCAAACTTTAGAATACCGACCGACCGACCGACCGACCGACCGACCGACCGACCCGCTAATTCTTTCCGAGAAGTAAGTCCCAAAGTTAGGAGTAGCAAGCTGTTATTTCAGTTTGTTCTTCAGTTGTTCGGTATTTATTTCTCAAAAAACGCAGTCGTACAAACCAAACCAAACAAACCAATTAAATATCAAGCAAACAGGTATATATATATCTGGTCCTGGAAAAATATCGAATAGTTAACGGAAACAAGAGAAAACGCAGTTCCATTAAAAGCTTTCAGGGCAAGGCAAACGGGGAGCTTAATATTTCCCCCCCTCCCCGGCACACCCCCCAGAGCGGGGTATTCGACGCAGTTATGCCGTTCGGAGCTAAACTGCAACAACACAACACGTGTGTTGAAATTGTGGGGCTGGGTGGGGTTGGGGGGGAACCTAGATAAACTACCTCGTTCTGACGTATGCGCTGAGTCCGTATTCCACTCACTTAAGTGGTAAATCACAAACGCGCGCTACGTCGGTCTTGGCAGGCCTCTTAGCGCCAGTGCGCGTGTATTACGCAGAGGCACGTCGAATTACCGCGATGCTAACCTCAATACCGCAGAGTACTGATATTATAAAGGATCTGAGTGCAGAAGTAGAAGACTATTAGATTATAATAGTCCTGGATATTTCCACCATCAGTAATTGGCAGTCGTCCATTAGGTATCATCATTGAAGAATCGAGTCCCGTCTGTTGTATTATCTGGAAGGTCCGTCATTCCTAAAATTATTTGTTAGTATATATACTTGAATATAAAATGTGATACATACTTTTTTTTTTTAAAAAAAAAAACATTACTCGTATGCCGCTCTGTGGGCTATGGTGAGGATTGAGGTATATGATGCTAAAGTCGTAGACCGCTGCTGTTTAAAATTCTAGATATATGGAAGATTCTACTCATTTAAATACTCAAATAATCTGGTAAATGGTGGCCTTAATTTACCTGGATAGCTGTGGAGGGGTTCGTTTAATTGGCTTAAACCTGCCTGAATGGCCTGGGCTGGCCTGAATGATCTGGACCGGCCTGAATAATCTGGGCTGGCCTGAATGGTCTGGACCGGCCTGAATAATCTGGACTGGCCTTGTTGGCCTGGACCGGCCTGGACTGGCCTGGACCGGCCCTCACGGCTTGGCCTGATTGTTTAGGCCAGGCCAGGCCTAGAATTTCACAGTCCAGGCCTTCTGTTGGCCTGGCCTGGCCTGTTGGATTCATTGACACCATTTGGCTATTTCTTTTCCTTCTTCGCCTTTGTTATTCCTTTTACTTCCTCATGTCCTTCATCTCACCATAGCCCACAGGGCGGCATGTGAGTAATGATATTTTTTTTATTCAAATATCCTTACTGTAGCAGAAATTGGAGCACAATTGTTCTCATACCCAGACTCTCCTAGCATGCTCAAACAACAGAGCCTGGATACAAAAACAGAGCATGGTATGATATGCTATTTTTACTGTTGTATCTTTATTCACTTTATTTTATATTTTATATTTTAGTGTTTGTCAGAGCCCCAAAGGATAGTATCATATACGAGTAATGATATACGGGGTCACCAGGTTGGAAGGAAAAAAAAAAAGCAAAAAATGCAATGCGCATTGTGTCGCAAGTCGCACAATAGCTATATGAGCTACCGTAGAAGACTAGCGAGCATCACTAGTAGTCAAGTGTCTTTTGGGCCTGGCGGGTTGGTAATTCTCTGCATTTACCAACCTCCGTTACAGAGTAAGAGATAATGGAGAAGCAAGCTGGAGATTTTAGCAGCCAGACGGTCCTGGCATGAGCTCTGCATTCCTGTACTTCATAGTAATACCAATATTGCACCAAAGAGCCGCGAATAGCGCCTGAAGCTCTGCCAAGACCACACTAGCGCGCGTTTGTGTTTTTACCTCTTAAGTGAGTGAATACGGCCGACCGGAACGAGAAACAGGTAGCCACGAAAGTGGGTACAGGTGTTCAAAGTGCAAGAAAAAGCAAAACGAAAAAAAAAAACTTCACAGAGAAAAGGTCTGGCAGGCACAATGCAGGAACAGAGGCTACTCGTTACTAGTATAATTCGCTCAACAAAAACTTTCAAACGAACAAATGTGGTGCAAACACATATATACCTGTTGTCGTGCCCAGCCTATTAGTTTTCGGCCCATGAGGTTAATAAAACCTTTTTCTATATTTGGTTTCGGGTATCAGTCTCCAAGTAGTTAAGACAATAAAGTATGAGAGA